GCGGGGGCAGGCAGGAGCGGCCGGGGCGGTGCTTCTCCCGCGGTGGAGTTCTGCGGACCTTGGGTCTGATCCTCCCGCCCTGGGCCAGGGGTGGGGGGCCGCGCGCTGCCTTCTGGAACCTCCTTTTTTTGGTTTGGTTTGTTTTTCTTTTCATTTGAACTGAAATAATCTGACTTTCGAGAATGTTGCAGAAATAGTACAAAGAATTTCTGTAAATCATCTGGCTTCTCTAAATATTAACGTCTTACATAACTCCAGTACAAGGCTCAAAACCAGGAAATTACGTTTCATCAGTTGTCCCTCTCTCCAGCCCTCTTTTTCTATTCTGAGATCTGACACAGGGTCACAGTTGTATTGAGATGCCATACCTCCTTAGTCTCTAATTTAGGGTAATCCTTTGTCATGTTTTGGCTTTCATTTCAAAACCCACTGGAAGAGTACTGGTCAGTCGTTTTGTAGCACGCCCCCAGGTTTTGGTTTGTCTGACATTTCCTCCTGATTGGATTCAGGTTGTGTGCTCCGTAGGAGTCCAGAGGCTTGATACCACACAGGCGGGACACGGTGGAAATATGTCCTATCACTGTTATGATGACTTAGGTCACTTGGTTAGGGGGTGTCATCCAGTTTACTGTTTTGGAATTTGGCATAAACCTCCTTTTCACAGTCCTCCCAAATGGACAACGTCTTTTAGAAAACTTTTGTCATCAGCTCCTGGATCAAGACCTACAGCTTGTCCAGCGAGGCCTCTGGGGCTGGACAGCACCAAAGAGGGCCAAGCTGGGCCGGGCGTGGTGGCACACGCCTGTAATTCCAGCACTTGGGAGGCTGAGGCAGGAGGATCGCTGTGAGTTCAAGGTCAATCTCAACTACATAGTGAGACCCTGTCTCAAAAAAACAAAAACAAAAAAACAAAAGTAATAGAATATTGGCTTTCAAGTGGGTAAATAACAATAACAACAACAACAACAAAAAAATGAAACCTAAACTGGGCATAGTAGTGCATGCCTGTTATCCCGGAGGCTGAGGCAGGAGGATGGCAAGTTTGTGCCCAGCCTGGGCAACTTACTGACACACTGTCTCCAAAAAAAAAGGACTGAGAATGTAGCTCAGTACAAAGACCCAGCATTCAATTCCCAGTACTGAAAAACAATTACTAAACTCAATACAAAAAAAAAAAAAAAAAAAACCAACCTAATTAAAAACTGGGCAGTCTGAGCAGACATCTGTCTCATCAAAGAAGATATATAGATCAGCAGTCCCCAACATTTTTGGCACAAGGGACCAGTTGTGCGGAAGATCATTTCTCCACAGACTGGGATGAGAGTGGGAGGGGATGGTTTCAGGCAAGATAAAAGCACATACTATTTATTGCACATTTTATTTCTATTCTTATTACATTGTAATATATAGTAAAATAACACAACTCACCATAATGCAGAATCTGTGGGAGACCTGAGGTTGTTTTTCTGCAACTAGATGTTCCATTCTGAAGGTGATGAGAGTCTATGAAACTTGGAGGATGGTGCCTATATCCAGTCTACCCTGAACTCTCTTGTTGGCCTGCCACCAGATGTAGTTTAATTGTCGCTTGCCACCTACTGCTAGGTTTGCTGCAAGCAGTTGATTTACTATGTACTCGGTGAGGTCCAACCTGTCAATGTTAATCTGCATTTGCAGCTACTCTCCAGGGCTGCTTGTGCTGCCTCAGCTCCACCTTTGACCATCAAGCATTGGGTCTCCTAAGGATCGCATAACCTGGATCCCTCACGTGTGCAGTGCCCAGCAGGGTCCATGCTCCAGGAAGAATCTAATGGGCCACTGATCTGACAGGAGGCGGAGCTTAGCCAGTAATGTGAGTGGTGGGGAGCGAGCTGTAAATATGAAACTGCTTACTCACCACTCACCTTCTGCTGTGTGGCCTGGTAACGCACAGGCCATGGACTAGATCTGTGGCCTGGGCATTGGGGACCCCTGCTACAGATGGCAAATACGTCTATGAAAAAAATGTTCAGCATCATTATGTCATTAGAAAATTGCAAATTAAAATAAAAATTAAAACCACTCTACAACCATTAGAATGTCCTAAACCCCAAATGCTGACAAATGGTGGCAAACATGTGCAGCAACAAGAACTCTCATCCACTGCAGGTGAGTGAGTGGTACAGCTGCTGTGGAAGACATAGTCTTACCCACAACCCAACAGTCACATGCCTTGGTATGTCCCCAGATGAGTTTCAAACTTGCAAACACATACACACATCCACACAACTTCTTGCAATTGCTGACACCTGGAAGTAACCAAGATGTCTTTTAGTAGATGAATGGATAAGCAAACTGTGGTACATGTACGAGGTATATCCAGTACAAGGAAATACTATTCAGTGCTAAAAAGAGATGGGCTGATAGAGGGAACCTTAAGTATGTCCTGCAGAGTGAAGGAAGCCATTCTGAAAGACTAAACAAGACTAAAGGTTTATGACTTTTTGAAAAGTTAAAGCTAGGGAGGCAGCAAAATGACTAGTAGTTTCTAGGGGCTTGGGTTGAGGAGGGGCGTGTAAGAGGAAAGAACGAATAGACAGAAAACAGGATTTTTACAGCAAGGAAATTATTCTGTGTGACACTATATCACTATGTATTTGTCAAAATCCATAGAATTTATAACACAAAGATGAACCCTAATATAGACTATGGACTTAAGTTAATAACAATGCGTCAATATTGAGTCATTGATTGTAACACATACCACCCTGAGAATATGTTAAAAATAGGGACACTGTGTTTGTGTGTGTGTGTGTGTGTGTGCGTGTGTGTGTGCGTGTGTGTAAAGAAGCACATAAGAACTCACTCTAACTTCTGCAATCCTAAAACTGCTCAAAAAATTCAAGTCTCAAGTCAGACTCTTTCCAACCCTTTCTAGCCCTTTTCATGTATCTATTAGTCTAGTCTGAAATGGAATGAATACAACAAGGATATTTGACTAAAGGGGCCTGCCTATAAGAAGAGTCGCAGAGTGCCGGAGGTAGTATAGGCCATTTTATTTACTGATAAGAGAACAGACCAGTGAAAGGACATGACTAACCCATGGGCACACAGTGAATGCAAAATGAACAGAGCCCAAATCTCCTTCTGAACTCTCCCATTTCTAGGTTCAACCTCATTGTGAAAGTTTCAAGGTCTTGCTCAACTTATTTATTTTCATGCTCCCTCTCAAGTTATCAATAATAGGTTCATATAGCAGACCTAAACCAAAATCAAGTCTTTCCAAATTATTCTCCATATAAATATTCAAACATCTTGATTCTGGATTTTTTTGGTCCTACCATCTACACTAGTATAATGAACATTTCTATGTCATCATGAAATTGAAAAGGTTCTCCACCCCCATTTTGGGCCCATTTGAAAAATTATCTTATTAATGTGGGTTACTGGATATAAGCTAATTTTTCATATATTCCTTAGGTTTATAGTAGAATTATACACCCTGAGAATGTTAAAAATAGGGACACTGTGTTTGTGTGTGTGTGTGTGTGTGCGTGTGTGTGTGCGTGTGTGTAAAGAAGCACATAAGAACTCACTCTAACTTCTGCAATCCTAAAACTGCTCAAAAAATTCAAGTCTCAAGTCAGACTCTTTCCAACCCTTTCTAGCCCTTTTCATGTATCTATTAGTCTAGTCTGAAATGGAATGAATACAACAAGGATATTTGACTAAAGGGGCCTGCCTATAAGAAGAGTCGCAGAGTGCCGGAGGTAGTATAGGCCATTTTATTTACTGATAAGAGAACAGACCAGTGAAAGGACATGACTAACCCATGGGCACACAGTGAATGCAAAATGAACAGAGCCCAAATCTCCTTCTGAACTCTCCCATTTCTAGGTTCAACCTCATTGTGAAAGTTTCAAGGTCTTGCTCAACTTATTTATTTTCATGCTCCCTCTCAAGTTATCAATAATAGGTTCATATAGCAGACCTAAACCAAAATCAAGTCTTTCCAAATTATTCTCCATATAAATATTCAAACATCTTGATTCTGGATTTTTTTGGTCCTACCATCTACACTAGTATAATGAACATTTCTATGTCATCATGAAATTGAAAAGGTTCTCCACCCCCATTTTGGGCCCATTTGAAAAATTATCTTATTAATGTGGGTTACTGGATATAAGCTAATTTTTCATATATTCCTTAGGTTTATAGTAGAATTATCATAATGATCAATCTAATTTAGGCAAACCATTTCAGCAATGCATTTTTCTGTCTCTGGAACTAGGAAAGTTTATTTTTCCCTTATTAACTGTAGTGCAGACTGCCTCATTTCTATGCTAAGATGACAACATAGACTATTCCTTGTGGGATGTGGTATTTCACTAAAATCTCTCATGATAATGCCCTGGTTTCTATTCACACACCATACTTTAATTTTTCTTCTGTCTCTCTCATTTCAGTTTAACTCACTGGTATCACTCCAGACTCCGCCCCCTTGACTTCATCTCCACAGCCTTTTATTTCTCCCTTCCATATACAGCCTGGATATTATCTCCTCTCTTTTTCCTTCCTCTGTCTGGTATACCTTCCTCTACTTGGCCAACAATGAGGCTCAGATCCCTTCTTCAGAAGCTCCTTTCCTCAGTTTTACTGGCATAACTGAGCACAGCAAGAGGAAATCACCAATTCTCCTGCTGGATGT